TTTTCTGTGAATTGTTGAAAATTGGTCCTTTGCGTTTTCATTGCTCCTGGGAAACTTCTCGCTGAACTGAAGTAATTAACAGGTGACGAACCAAATCTTGCAGTCAGATAAATTAAGAAGACAATTTTGTCCAGTCTTGCACAAGCAAATAATCAAATATTTATTCGATGCATTCACTCTATGTTCATCTTTTTCGATAACCTTCTTAGAGTAGAATTTGATTAAAAATACATTTGGCTCAATTAACCAGAAACAACTTTCTCTCGTGTCAGAGAAATCGCAAATTAATAAATCTGAGCGATGTCACAATAATTGTCATCGCGTCGAGTGAAAGGAGCTGTTTAGAAATTTAACTAAGTACGTGTAGAACGAGTCGTTAAAGTATTACTGTCATTTTCATTCGCATTTTTCGGAAAGTTCTCTCCGTCACGCGGGCGGACGTTACACAGAAGCTTAAAGGAAAGTTGACAATCTTGCGGCACAAATTGACTGGGAGTCGTATTAAAAATACCGATGCCTGCCGTAATTGCAATACCCGAAATCAAAATTGCTGGCGAAGGCTGCGTTTGACGTTATTGGTTCGCTCTCCTTTAATTATCCCGTGTTTATTGCGCGCTCGCGTCCAGTAAAATACGGAAAACGCTTTAATTGCGAAACAGGATTCGATGAAACGTAGTTCAACCGCATAGGTTCGATCCCATAATCAATTTCTTTATTAAGCTGGTCCAATTGTATCATCACCTTAACAGTTGAGTTACCCTATCTAAGCTGATCAAATAATATTCCGTTATTGTCCTGCAGACTAAGTTCCCAATTATACGAAAACGAAGCATAAAACAGTTACCTTCAATTCACCTTTAACTGACGATTTAAAGTGAATGAGATAACCATTAGAATCTACTTCGTAGAATGAGATAATTACGTGATATATTCTAATAATGAGCCGCGTGAAGACGTCTGGTCCTCACGTGACAAATACCTGAAGAGGGTACCCATTGGGCACAGTCGCTAGTTCTCGGTGAGTTAATCTCCGTAAATTTGGCCATCCACCACTTTAGAGTCTAGACACCCTCGTGAATATGTACCTGTTTGCGCGACGCCATGAATGCGTTGGACGCGTTCATAGGCAAATTAAGCGAAACCTGAAATTTAAATCATGTCCGCATACACTCGAAACTGTGCCCTTTCAATGCTACTTGGAGATTGGCTGGCTCAGCTCACAATAAATTAAGCTCCGTTGCAAAATATCATGGAACTAGGGACATGTGAAATATTATTGAGGTAGATTTGCGAATTAAACAACATTTAAATTCAAACCATACCCCAGCCACATTCTGCACCGCTTGAAAAGTGATTTGATTCGTGATAAATTCAGCATTGTCGCAAAATGGGAAGGAAATAGGAACACGTGAAATATTATTGAGACGTATTTGCATCACAAGGAAACCGGATTAATTCGTATTTAAAAACATCGAGAGCGCACAATGGAAATAACGAGTTCATTAGGGGAACGCTTGGAAATGTTTCTCGGACCTGTCCAAGGTGAAATAAATTATACGGAATGCATGGAAAACGGGGCGATACCTGAATAAAACACGAGTAATTTTTTCCCGTAGATTTCAGTGTTACGAGCTGACGAATGTTTGCTGAGAATTTGAATGTCTTGCCCTTCTTCCCGTGCAAAATTGACGAAAGCGTAAGTGGAAAGGGTGGAAGTTTGAGTGGTTTGAAATGTTGATTTCACAACCCATCGTCAGACAGCCAAGATTTTCTTTCGCGATACCGAGCTGTTGACTTCATCATTTGCTTCTGCCTTCGCAAATAATATCTTCAAAAAGGAAGTAAAAGTCTTTCGTAAACAAAAGTAAATCTTGGATCTTTTCTGTTATGCATATCTGCAGTATAGTTCGTTATTTTATTCAAGGAGTATATGTTGTTTGAAGTTCGCACTTTCAAGATGCAAATACGAGACATTCCGTAGCCTGACAAATCTATGTTACTTCTTCTATTGACTAGAAAAGTAAGGATTATCGATGGATGCTCCGGAAATTGACGCCGTGGTATACGAGAAACTGGATAAATTTTTTATCCGGTGACCTGGCTTTCTGACCTGTGTGCGTCAAAGAGATATTCGAGATTAGGTCCTAGTTGGTTCTTGAAGAATAAAAGGCTGTTGTTCAGTTACAAGAAGAATTTAATTTTAATTTGATTTTATGAAATATGCCCCCTGGATCCTTGCTTTCATAGTGACGTGTACTAATCACTTATGAAAACGAGGAAGAGCACTTTCGCAAATCATTAATATCTAGAAAATGCTGGGAGCCACGAGTTTGGCCGAAGTTGCAATTTAGTGGAGGGGGCAGATTTTATAACCAACTTTTTACTGATTTAATAATAACTGTTTCCTACGCACCGAGTCGCCAGCAATGTTTTCCATTTAAATTCAAATTAAAGTTATGTCCTAGGTAACACGGTGTTACGAGTAGTTTATTAAAATTTAAACCTTCGCGTATTTTATGTTCTACAGTTTATTAATGAACTAGATTTTGCTCACAGCCTCGCTCTTGGGGACGTCGGCTTTAATAAATCCCTTTAAATAAGTGTACTCTACATTAAAGAGTTATATGTAAAACGTATGGACAGTGGTGATTGAAGCGAATGGATGTTAAAATCATATTTTTATTGGCATTTTTGTTGTGCTTACTGTATTATTTGCCGTTTAATATTGTATTACGCGCCGCAATTGATCAAATTCACCATGAGGACCCGTTTTCGTTATAAAAATGTATATATTTATATATACCATTTAATTTAAACGAATTTCTTCAATAGGCATAAAGGATACGAATATTTATGGGACTGACTGTATATAGATGACCTGTCATGTTTACAACACACGAAGGGAGATTTCCGCGTGATTTACAATTTTCTGAATTTATCTGAACGGCTCCACGCGCCTGTCCTCCCATTTCCTGTTGTCCTTCGTAGAATGTCCTTTTATCGCCTCGCTTCGAGAAATCTTTCGCCTTAAGATACTCGCCTAGGCAACGCTCTCCAGTCCACCCTATATGAATCGCCGCGGATATGTGATGAGCTCTGTATGCGTTGTTGAATATATACACACATATAAAAAGCGGATTCCACATTCTTCCGTGCGCAATTGCACGAAAATGGAAATTTCGTGCGTCATTCGGGCAAATATTCTGCGACACGTCCTTTTCGTTGATATCACCGTTGTACTAGCGCCGGTTGTTTAATTTTCGCGAATATGACTTCAATGAGTGCACGTACACACGTATACTGTTGCTCGAAAGTCTTACAATAGTTGTTGTTTTTAAGAACACTCTAGCATTTGGCGTAAATTATGAACTTTGACCTACTTCTGTTGTGTAATACAACTACAGGTACATGTCTGATGTTAGTTAATTGGTAAGGTAGTAAATAGTTTATGTTTTAATTACGTTAGGTTCTCTCGATTCTCTAAGTTAGAAGAATGATGTTATAAATGAAGCTAAATTAGAATATGTAATCGTGTGAATGTATAAAATGCCTCTGAATTTTTCTCAGAATCTTAGAATCTGTCTCAAAGCTCTACTACGTGCGCGGGTATCGTTTACTATAATATTTGGATGCCAGGTTAAACAGCAAAGTTCTCAGAACATCAAGAACATAATCACCCCATTTGCTAGGAACATTTAATTCTGAAAATCCCATCTCATTAAGGTCATGCTTCTGGGAGTATATTTAATTTATTCATGCCAGTTCTTTAGCAAGGTTGTAAGGACGAATTAAATTTGTATTATTTCCTTCGAGTGACCCTTTGAAAACTGAAATTTGTCGTAGTATACAAATTTGTAGATGTAGGATCGATTGTCAGCTAGGAATTGCTGCTGTAAAGTGTATTATTGCGTGGCACGATTGATTTTGGTACACTATCGGTTACCAATAAGTACGCCATTTTTCGTCGTTAGCGTCCTATATAAAGGCATCCGAAGGTTCTTTTCTTCTTTCCTTTTTTTTTCATTTCCAAGATCACCCATTATCGAGAGAACTCGCTGGCGTAAGCGTTACTTTCTTTATTGTCTGGTCACAGATTGAGTAGCACTACTGGCATCAAGTAGAACCATCCGTCTGTGATCAGAACCGGCCACCTCGAGCACAAGCGATTTGTTCCGAATTCTTTTCCTTTGAACGTCTACTCGTGACTTTAATTTTATCATCTGTGAAACGACAATTGCGTGAACTTTTGTCGATAGAATTTAGAAGTAAAATTTCGTTATATCAGTTAAGATGTTTGAAAATTTAGATTTACACGAGCATCCTTGAAGTTTAAAGCTCACGTTTTAAGGTCGTTCAGCCACTTAAGCGACAAGTTGACAATCTCCTGTACCTTCGTACGTGGAAACATTTCATTCTATTCGTACTTCGTCGGCTAACACATTCAATTATTCGATCGCGTCGCTGCCGTGTCCCTCAGGTGAAAGGGCGGCCTGAGTAAATATTTTATCAAAGGGTGCGCTTGAATTGCGAACGTTCGCGGAAATAAAATCAAAGTGGAACTTCCCCTTCCTTTTTTTTTTCCTTCCTGAATCATCAAGAACTGTCCAGCTGTCAAAAAGGTTTCTCTACTTGGGAGATGTCCGGAAAGCATTTCAAGTGTTCCCGGACATTTCAGAACCCTCGTGACGTGAAAGGAAGAGTAAGTATCTTTCCTCGGGAGAAAAAACGGACTTAACGCGATATTTAACGCGCTTTTCGGATTACGCGCAAGTTTTCTACGATCGCCGAGCGTTTAGACCTTGAGAAAAGCTGCAACTTTGCAACAAAACTTTTTGCTTTTTACTCCAAATTTAATTTTTTATTAAAAATAGAAGACTATTACAAGTTTTATAAATTTCTAATGAAGCATACTGGAGGTAGAACGCAAACCAGACCAACATTCACATATACATATGACATGCATACATACGGAATTTTTGAATTTTTGAATTCAACGCACCTCAGAGCAGCGATGAATCTAAAATATCGTCGTGGTCAAATTTTGATCGATGGCGATAGTTTCCCTCTGTTGCATTCATCAATCAGGATAGTAAAAATTGATTCGACGTTGCGCATCGATTTTTTTTTTAACGAACGCAGATATCTCTCAGAGGTTGGTGTAGATTTCTGGCTCGTTCGTTAGCGAGAATGCCGACTGTTAGCCATTCTTAGCTTTGAAGGAATCACCGACGAACGAAGCGGTAGAAAAACGAATAAAGGACCGCATAATACGAAAGTGGAAGAGGTGCCCCCGTCTTACACTCTTCTTTTTCCTGAAATCCTTCCAGAAAACCGTGCATTCTATCGTCGGGACGTTTCTCCCTTTCGAGGAAGAATGTCTTCCTTTGAGCACGATTTTTGTGAAAAATGTTCCTCGGTATTTTCCAGCGAGCTCATTGTTATAAGGTTGACTTCACTTTAAGAAAAGGATTAAGAACGTTTGCAAGTTCGGCGATATAGATGCCGTTGAAAAATAGAAAGCAACGTTGTATATTAACAAGGAATGTTTCTATAGGGGCCGATGACAATGGACTCGCGGCGAAACTTTTCATTTCAAACAAACCGACAGCGAAGATTAAGTATGATATCAGTCAAATACTGGAGTAACTGTAAACACTCGAACGACACAGGTTGCGATCGTAACAAACAATGGAACGCAACTACTTCATAAAATCACCGAGAGATTTCAAACTCCAGCGTAACGGGGGCATGGAAGAAAGATCAACAGAATTGCGATCAATAAGTAGTGCCGGGGAATGCATAAAGCCCGCTTGAAAAGCAATCCTCGTTATATCTTTGCAGAGGCAAATTACGATTAAACTGCAAAAAGAGATGAAAATCCAAACGGAAATGCTAATGATTATAATCGTTGATTATAATTTCTAATTGATGACTTGTATCCTTCGGTCTCGACGACATCACGAATGCTACATAAAAAGGATAGGTATCTATGTGTATATAGGTAGAGTTTAGTGATAAAATTAGTAATTAACACTAAATCTACCACGACCGGTCAAATGACCAATTTCAAATTTTTATATACAGTTCTTACATGCTGTATATAAATTATATATTATACAATTGTTCATGCATTATTCAATTTAGTTCGGCGCAAAACATTTTTGAATTTCATTGAAGAAAGTGTCTCTACGACTAGTCATTTCTCTCATCACGATAGAAATGGTTACAAATGGACGCCGGTAAGTTTAGTGTTAAAAATAATGTTCATTCAAAAAGAAATTCCCTTTCTCGCTGTACCGTCTGAAAAATACAGACAGCTAGTCGGTAAATACAGTCCCAATCTGTGCCTTAAAAAAAAAAAAGAATAAAAGAAACGTGGAAAGAGTTCTAAATTCAAGGGACCATACCCTGTACAGACAACACAGCCACATAAACTCTACGTATACCGAACATCATTTTTACGATCCCGTCACTCCGTGCACACGAAAACCAGAGTTCCTAGAGCTTGCGAAGTCGGACGTTGATACACATCCGGCTGGAACTGGCCCGCGGGGCCATAGTTCGCCGAGCCCCGACTGCGGGCTATGCAACAAGAAACAAAACCAGAAGATAAGAGAAAGGGTTAAAGTAGTAAAGCAACGATGTTAGAACTATCCAGCAGACGTCGACGGTCTGTGTGCTCCGGCCGCGGAGGCTGCGCGGAAAAATCGATAGCCAACGCGAACCGACGGCGTCGTCGTCGTCGTCGACGTCGGCGGTGGCGGCGGCGGCGGCGTTGGTGGTAATGCTAGTGGTGGTGGCGAGTAGCAGCGCGATAGAGTCGGACGGTGCAGTCAACGTTGGGACCGGCAGCCCAAAAGACACACGCGGACCTGACACGTTCTCCACAACCCCCTAACCCCCTCCCACGTCGAGCCACCCCTCTATCTGGCACCTTTGACACCCCGATCTTTCGTACGGCCCTGAGCGAGAGTACGCGACGTGCTCTCGTGCGGGACTTCTTTCCCTTCGAGCACGATCCGACGGTCCGCAGGCAAACGGACACAAAGGAGCCGCGACGTTACGTATCGGCTCGCGGTGTTCGTTCGTGACGGACGTGCAGTGGGTGTGTGATGGAAAATGCAACGCGTGGTGACGCGACGTGATGAGACGTGAAGCGATACGACGCGGTCACGGCAACGCTTTCCTTTCGGTTCTTTCGTCACTACCTGCCTACCTGGCCGCCTCCGCTCCGTACCGATCGCGTGTGTGAGCCCGAGATAAATGCAATGTTGTGACGCGTGACGCCGGTTGGTCGCACGTCGTTTCGTACGCTACGGGGATACTTTGCCACCACGTTCCTTCGGCACCTCTTTCGCGCCTGCGACTGTGGATGATAAATCCTCGAGCGAACGTAGACCTCGCCACGGGACACTCGTTCAACCGCGACCACCATGCGTGTGCAAGGACCGAACGTACCTGACGTGAACACCTGTGAAATAGGCTGCGTTGTTTTGCTCGCACGGGCTCGGGCCACCATTTGCCTTTAACCCCGGCACGACCGCGACTTCCAATCTCGAACGATGCGGTACGATTCGTTGTCGAAACTTTTGTGACTTTTGATGGAGGTAAAGTCGGGTGCATGCGGTCTTTACTGCGTAATATATGGATGATAGAGTCTGATTTGTAAATATTGTACGAAAATGCGGTGGGAATCGCTGTCTGTTAACCGGGAGGTTTGTGGGTCGGCACAAGCGCCGGGTTCGGAGGGTTGATACAGCTCTTATCCTTCTAGGAACACATTCGTATAAGTATTGAATGGTTCCCAGCGGAATCCTATGCCATTCTTCTGTCAGTACGTCTTTCTATGGCTTAAAAGATTTTGGAGGGAATCTGTTTCTCATTCCGTTCTTGAAAACCACCCCACGATGATATTTAAATAGAGTTAATATACCGATTAGGGGAGACTCGAGGTTTATCTTTACGTTTATCATCGTGAATAACAGCGTACATAATATGAACCTGACCATCTAGAATATACAAACACTGGCAATAATACGAGCATTCAAGGAAGACATAGAAGTTTATCTTGGTGCTTCTCGAGCCAAGAATTTTCTGACCGTGTATGCAGATGCATTATCATCTCGAAAAATAGAATAAAATGTTATGAATCTGAACATCTAACACATTCTAGAACTCTGAAAAGGCGTTAGAGCTCATATTGATGTTCGTCGAACCAAGATTTTTCTTTTCGTGTACATGTACGCTTGAAGGAAAAATTGCTTGAAGGAAGGATAGAATAAAAATATTCTGCTGGGCCACTTGACTACAACGTTATGGCTGCTCACGTTATCACAGAACCACCCTCATGTTTAGCACTTGTAAGCAGACAGTTGGAATTGTAGGTGTTTGCATTATTTGGTCTCACTCCTGTATATATTTAAGTGGTTTTTTTTTTCTGGAAGCAAACGTATCCTGAGTTCTGCCGTCTGTCGAGATTCCAGGGTTATCAGTTCACGAGTTCTCGCTGAAATATGACGCTACGCTGCGCGCCTTTTCGAGGACAATGACCCCGTGCACCTCGCTTCCTTCCGAGTCTGTCTGACTCGGTCGATGGAGTAACCGTTTCAATTTTTCGCTGTGTCCCGCGTCTGGCCCGAAGAACGGACACTTGTTAATTGCTTCTTTCTCGACGTTGAACTTTCCAGACGCGAAAGGATTCGTGTCATTCAACCAAGATCGTCTTTTGTCCGAGATCTCGTGCGTCGCTGCTCAATTTCGTAATGAGAGACTGAAACCCGCGAGTTTCTGACTTGCCCAATAATAACATGAGGCATTTTCGGGATCGTGGGCGTTGAAAATAAATTATCACGCGAGATTTGATATTGTATTAATTCTAGAGTAGTAGAATCGTCTTGATGCTTCTCATGATTTTCTCAACGTCAAGTCAAGAAAAGTTGTTTCTTGTTCTGATTCGATCAATCAAACTTAAAACACGTTATTTTTAGATCTCGAGCCTTCGAGTATTAAAAAACTCGATTTTTCATCGAAACGAGCCAGAACCTTTCCTTGATGCATCAGTTGCGTTGTGAAAGCTGTCCGTCCTTCAATCATATCGTGACATGTACAATGAGAGCGTTGCGTGATACCTTTAACAACGGCACGCAATATATAACACTAAAGTCGTCAGTACAGCTACAACTGGTCCGAATGCGGTTTTTGCGGTACTTCAATTTCTGTGGGTGTTCGTACAGCGTTATTTATTGCTCGCAATTTGTCGAAGCATGCTTCTCTACGTCGAAACTAAATCTCTCGTTAAGTATACACAATGATGCGTGTTTGCAGGTATTAGTGTCGAAATAGGATCACGTTGCCTTTGTCCTTTTGTTTGATGCCGGTGTTTGGTTCGTTTAATTCCTAGCGAAATCCGCTGCGAACGAGTAAATAAGAAAACACTGGGAACTAGCGAATTCGTGTTTGTTTTTAACTGAGTTTCGCTTCATTAATCCTAGAAGACTTACGCCGAATTATACATAAATAAGACTAGAATAAAATTAGATGAATTCTATTCCCTGTCAGATATAATTTCACATCTCTTACCCATCTTCTACACCCGCTCCCCTTGTCGTGCTATGAGCATTATTAATCAGTGTTGCGGCTCACCACAATGCGTTCTAGCATGCATAACACTGAAATAGTCTCTTCCATGTTCTCCCCTTCTTCCATCATTCTTTTACTCCGTGTCACTTCTCTGCCTCGAGAGCAATCCTCTACTCTCGTCAAGCCTACTCCACCGTATCCCTGTACACGGCCTAACGTAAGAATGAAAGGTTAAAGACATTACGAGCCGTAAGTTCCATACAATTATTATTTTTCCCCCTCGGTGGATCCGCCAGTTATAAGCTACGCGCAGCATGACATGTTCTTGACATTTCGTTTCGAAATGCACACTCTAAATGTCATTTAATCCATGATTTCGTGTTCACCCCTGGTTTATCTTATTTTGTCTAAACACCAACGTTTAATCGTCGACTTGTCGTTTTAATTTCGTGTTTACCCTCTAATATTAAAAACTTATTCCGATGGTGCTTCAAAGGTCTTGAACAGTCGTCGCATAATTGTACCCGCAAATTATTCCCTTTGAATCGGCTGTGAAAGGTCGACATTTGGTGTTCCGAGATAGACGAGACACCACTTTGATCGCTTAATTGACTGGATGGACTGGTAGCAATTAGCAGACAGGTCTTGAGTTGCTTTTTATCGCCCAAGCGCGAATCGAGAATGTCGAAATTCCGAACGATTCCAGGTCTTTTGCGCGCGTCTGTGTTTAAGCTTCATTGCGCGGTGAATATTGAAGTTCAATAAAACATTTGATCAATTATGCAAGCTTGATACAATATTTATTGACGTTATAAGTAGTTTTTATACGAACGTTAAATAATTAGTTACGTTGACATAGAAATGGCAGTTGATTGATAGTTATTTTATTTGAAATATTGGTAATGAATTTTGATTAAAAATAATTCCAGATAAGTTGTATTCCTGCATTGTCTCTTGTTTCTTTGAATCGATTGTTCGAACTGCACCCTCTTCACCTACACGCTTTTCCTGATATACTCCGCAACATATTTTCTTTCAAATATTTCACAGTTTATTTTCATCGCAAAGAGGGTTGCGGAATTTTTCAGATATGATTTTCTATCCTTGACATATTTTTATTTTTCCCAAAGGATGTCGCTTCCGGTCACGTTGCACGAATAAACTGTATTACTCTCGAATTCGCAGTACATCCTCTCCTTTGTGTTCCATCCTGGCGATTGGCTAGAATGTTTCGAATAGTTTGTGGCTACATCGTGCCTCAGAGGATCCGGTATAGCGATCGCCTCGCAAAACATAATCTCGTTGATACGCTCGTACACGAAGAAAAAAATAGTGAAGTATTCAAACTGAATGAATTTCATTCTGGAAACGAACCAACGCATTTTCGTCATCCACTGTAATTCTCTGATCAACCAGTGAATTTCAGATAAACTATTTCATAATAAATGAGGTTCACACTTTTCTTTTTAGAATTTTTTTAACAATATATTTATTTATTTATTTTATTGCTTACGTCTTTGAGAAAACTATGAATAATTCTTAATTCTTTAATATCCGGTCCATTCAGCGATATATTTCCAAAGAAAATTTAATTTCTCTCTGTATGTAACTGACTACGAAACGCGATAAAATGGTTAAATTTCAGTGTGAGATTGTTGATCGTGGAAAGAACCTGTCATCGCAAGGAACAACGAAATTCTAGAATTGAAAAATTGGGGTTGACTGAACGTAATAGCCAAGGACAGAAAGTTTTTCGTGGGTTTTCCTGGTGGTCGATATCTTGTTATCGGAAAGCACTAGTCATCCTGATAAAACGATATGGCGGATATCGAAATAAATTACGAAGCAGCGCAGACATTGTGAACGGCATGATTTTCGCGAGAATATACGACAGCACGTTCCGTTTTTGTTGCCGTATCGAGATACAAAATTCGTCGTAAAGTCTTCGCGTCGCGAACAAAGCTACAACGTAAAAATGGACGACACTTGGGATTTGTCCGGCTCGTATCTTCTCCTCTTTACATGATTCCTCGGGAATTTTACTTTTTTTTTTACGTATTGCTACGAGATCAGGTACCACTTATTTTCCAACATATGGGAAAACCTAAAATACTTGGACGAATGTTGGTCTCATGTATTATGAAAAATCATTTTATATTAGTTTATAAATTTGCTTTGTGTGGACAGATGTTTGAAGAAGACTTAGAGCTATAGGTTCGAACAAAGAAGAGGGTTGGTTTTCTTTTCTGTCGAGGGTTGGTTTACAATTGTTGTTTCTTTTCTTCGCCTCTTACGCATTTAACGATTTTCCGTTGAAGACACATGTCCATCCACGTACAAATTTTTGGACCGCCCTATATAGGGGTTAGAAAAATGTATACGGAACCGCGAAGGGGATTGAAAGACGTGGACGAAAAACGAGCTCGGCGAGATGGAAGAGCAGTGTCGGAAAATTCACTTCTAACTCATTCGCGAAATTGCGCACTCTCTCTCTTTTGAATAAAATGTTAGACTCCCCCAATTTAGATAATGACTAAACATGGATGGTTCGATACATCCCGCTGTGTTACGCATTTCCATTATCCGTCTATTTAACCCTCGTTGCCTAGAAACGTTTTAATCACACTTCATTTGAATAGTTTTTGCTGGCCTCAAAAAAAAGGGAAAACTTTTTCTCGATTCTGACGTACGACTGTTTACTCTGTTGCCAAAAAGTGGGACAATTTCTATCGATAAAACGATACCACGAATTATACGCCTGTAAAACTCGCAAACGAGTGTATTAAGTTGCCGTAAAAGTTCCGTTCGTTAAGAGTCAGAAGATCGAAATGCTTTTTTTTACAATTACGATGTTAAATACAGAACATTCCTTTCGTTTTCAACATTTTGTTAATCGCCCAGATGCAAGACGCTTCGAGCCTTGTTTATAAGTATCTGCGAATAACACAAACAAGTAGCAAAATCAATACATCCAGATTATTCACACAGGCAGCTCCGATAACTACTGACTCATTCATAAAGGCGACTAACGAGAGCCTATAATACTCGTGCTCAACGAGAGATCAACGGGCGGAACTCGTGCAGCGGCCTAATATTTGATAACCCGACGAGTGGGCTCGTGAGGGAAGATTCTCCAGAGAAACGCGGACAGCGGAAGCTAAAAAAAGAAATCGCAAAACAAGAGCAGAGTTTAAATCCGCGGAGTACAAGCGTTCCTGATCCCGTGGAAACGACCGAGTCCCCCACAGAGCAATAAAGAGCAGCTTTTCATTTTGCACTTTTTAGGACGAGCATTCAAAGCGGAAAAAGATTGTGTCGGACTAATCCGCGATTTCTGTTTGACGCTAAAACGGAGTAACAATGAAAATCCGCGCAAAGATGTGTTTGAATCCAGTCGAGCAAGCTGTTCGTTGAGGCGTGTCATGGATAACGAGGCGTCGAGCCTGGATCTCTGACTATGGCGCGATGCAGTGAAATTTGGTGGCGAACATGAGACATTAGGCTAGTATCGGACGCGATAAACATACGAATTAATTGTTAATCGAGCATTGTAATAATTCCTATACACGATGGACGTTTTGTCGTGGACGAAGAGGCTGCGCAAGAGATGCATGACGTTTCTGAAGATGATGAGAAGAGGTGATCGACCCATCGATTTCTGCGATCAAACGTTCCACGCATTGTTTGCTAACGAACGCGTCGACGACGAACCCGAGGGGACGATTCCAGGCGACGAAACGAACGACGTTTTCGAAGACGACTATCGATCGGGTTACTTTTACGGGAATAAGTACGTTTGCAACTCGTCGAGGATCCAATAAGTAACCGCATTCGAGATGTGCATTATGAAGCGGGGCAAGATTTTCAGCAGAAGAATTCCCTTGTGAACATTTCCAGTCAAGATTATTTTTGAAAAAGAAAAAACTGACGAATGGAAGGTGCGAAACTTCCCTCGATTTTTAGCATTCGGAGAACACTGGTGTCTCTCTTAATGGAACCGCGCGAAATTACGACTCTCCAGGAGCGCTCGAGAGATTTTGAGAATTGGACGATGCTGGAACACGAAATCGGCATGCTCAGTGAGAACGCGAAGCGTTTCAGGTGAGCCAACTATAAATCTTTATCAAATTATCGCAAGTTTCGTTGAATCTTCAGAGTCTACGAACATGATTACTAAATTTTAATTGAAATCGACTAACTCGATTGCGTAAAGAAGTGTGACAATTTTGTTCTATTGTATACGTGGTTCTTGAATATTCTGATGACCATTTATTATAATTATAAAAATATCAATGATTTAAATAAAGCATGAATAATTAAATAAAAAAAAGCTAATTCATATATTTCGATTTCTAATACTATCATCATAAATCTCAATTGACTTAAAGTAGATGATGAAATCATTTTTTTTTAATCAATAAATTAATAAATAAACTCCATCTGTAACTAAAGTTGACGAATGAACCAAAGATGAAACCGGTGTAGGTGCAGTTATAGCTGCAGATAATCAAAACTAAAATGGTATTTGAGTTCCTTTTGTCAATGCTGCTAAAATTATTATAAAAAAAACTAACTATATTTGAATTAAAAATATGTAATATTAAATTTCATGTACCATATATAAAACAGCATGACAATATATAACAAATTTTAACATTTTATATTCCTGTATGAAATCCTCTTAATTATTATAAATAATTGAATTTTGAGTTATAACTAAATAAGAAGTGCCTGAAGAGTTCTCAAAATTAGAATCGAAACATAGGTTTCCTTCCCTTAACAATATTGCCTATTTACTTTTCACTTTTCATGTTCGAAAGGGAAACAGTAATTTTCATTCGCAGTAGAGAACAATCGTCGAGCTTAAAAGTACAATGTCGAGTTACGATAAGGCGCGTAGCTAAGTCTTTTTTCGCAGGAGTAATAATGTTAACTTGCCGAGGCAGAAAACGACGTTATGGTAAAGACTGTTCCATCCGCGGAAAGCTCGAAAACACAATAAATTATGAAGTTGAAGATACTTCTTCGAGAAAAAAAAAAGGAAACTTGCTTCGGGCAATTTTTCCGCGAGTAAAAAAAGAGCGACGAACCGCCTTGACCTCGTTCCACTTTTTTTTCTAACACGTTGCACCGCTTCTTTGCTAGACGTAGGCACCTCGAGAAGACGGATCCTCCCGTTCTTCGTTTCTGTGCTTGTTCTTTGCCAAAAGCCTCGGTGACCTCTCGAGGACGACGACCCAGTTATCTATTAACTAGCGGATTTATTCCAGCTACTACACACACTTTCGTTACGCCGCGACGTTCCAGACGAAGGGTAGTAAAAAATGTTCGCTTCTCTAACCTATGAATGAAACCGTTTCGCTTCTCCTATCTCGGTTATCATTTCGTGCTTCCGTCTATCCCAATGTTCGTCTACTTTCGTCTGACGCTGTTCCGATTAACGGTTTAATATGCAGGATATGAAAAGAACAAATGTTTACCAATTCAAAGAATTAAATCAAACACGCACAATGTGGGTGCGTTATATTTGAACGTTTCAATTATCGAGTTTTAGTCTTCTTTGGTCTTCTTTGAAATAAATGAAAATTGAACAAAATAGAATATAAGGTTAAGTGATCATGTACGGTACAAAAATGGCCAGTTCAAAGCATAATCCTATTCACTGAACCTCTCTCGTACAGGTGGCCAATTATGTTGAAGTTTGGATAATGTTCGCAAAAATGAACGAATAATTAACCAAGGAAGTGCAGAGAATATGCTCAAAGCGTTAATTGAAATCATTTGAAAAACAAACAGTTCTTTGAACAGAGAATTGAAAAGCTAATTATTCATTCCCACGGATATACATATAGAAGATATATTAAAACATTAGCATTGCATTTCGTGCATACCACGAATCTCTTTAGCAACTTCGTATTATTAAAATAAATAGAAAATAGTTTGTAATCACATATATAAAATATCTCTGTTTAAGAGAAATGTAATTTTTCGTTCCAGCGTAGCAAATGACTTCTTTGCTTTCCGTGGATCGCATGTTGTGGAAAAGTAACAATTTCACTTTAAAAGCGCCGACACTCTCATGTTTCCTTGTTTTCCACCCTTTATGTCTTTATTTACCTTTTCGTGGAAACTATTCCGCGTGTTCTTTTTCCATTTCAATTCAACGATTCGCACGCCCTTACAAATTCCTGGCTTGCGTGGTTTCATCTGGCGTTAGCGTTTACTAATTTTTTTATTGCAATTGCATGATTAATTCCTTTAAATATCGACTGATTAAACAAAATTCAAACATTAATCGGCCCAGGATCCTGAATTTTATTTTAAGCATATTGCTGTTTTCAAGGATTTATTGTCACAATTTGTCACGATTCACAGCTTATTCTTGCAACGTATACTAAATAGTAATCTGCTAAATGGTAACGGCTAACGAACTCAATGCCTCTATGGACAGTGGGTGTAATTATAAAGACAGTAATTTTGTCAGCGATAAAGCGTAGAAGCAGTGCGCTAAGTGATTTGTGTACGCGCATATTTACTTTCCATTTTTTATGGCACTGGCTTATTGAGTCCACATTTGCGCTTCACGCAGAACACGTTTATATTTAATACACATGGAATCGTATGACAAATATTGCGTTTCTAAAAAGTAAATACGTCTCTGTTTGTGCATTTACGCGCTGAAACTAAATATTTACGTCGGTGGTACCCATTTTCTGGTTGAAAGAAAAAGCTGTAGTTAAGAGATTTTACACGAAGCGCGAGAACTTTAACTCCTTTGAATGTTTAATGCTCGCATTCAGCGTTAACCCTTTGACTGCCAGACGATATTTTCTGGAAATTTTATTTTTATTTTCGAAACTTAACATCGAATGAATACATTGTACATATAAAGAAGTTTCGTCTTGTCATTCTTTATAAGATGATATTTTTTAGAAATTTCTCCCAATTTTCAAGGACGGACATATGTATACGACCTTCGCAGTCAAAGAGTTAAATAACACCAGTGAATAGTATGTTTGCTCTCATTAAGAACGTCTCTCGGTTGGAAAAGCTGCTTGTAGGCACCGCGTTCATCGATTAGTGCAACTATTATACCGCAATAATTAGGATAGGATCCAGATACTATTAAACGAGCTGCAACGGGCAGCTTCGCATGATGATAGTTAGTACGCATAATCATTATTGTGTACCTTGTCCATCTCGTCGAAATAGAGTCAGGATTATATTCATTTAAACGTGATACCGCAGTATCTGAATATCCGCATTAAGAGCTTGTTTACGAATTAATACTTTACAAGAAGGCTACGAATATTTCCTCAATTCTATTATCATTCTTTTCTTAAATCTTCCGCGATTTTTGCAAACTTAAATACGAAAATAAAAATAATGATTGTCGAGAGTGAAGCACTGTTCGTACAAACGGGCAGGAAAACTCATTTTTAGTTTTTAATTGAGTTTGTTCTGTTGAAATGATTGCGTTTAACTCTGTTATCGAAAATTAATAACTATTCCATTGTTAGACCCTGTACGTACCTAAACTCCCTTGTATCATTAAAATACAATGTACCCATGGTGCGTCGAAATTTTTCCTGTGTCCCCACGGTTTTAATTAAAAAGCCATTAAAATGTACCTGTTTGAAGTGGTTGTGGTTGGAGCATAGGTAAACATGTAATGATAGTTCGTTGAAAATCTAACGATCTACAATTACGTAGATTATTAAATCTACGATCGTATAAACCTCAATCCAGAACCTGTATCAATCGGTAGGTCAATAAAAGAATGAAGCTTGTACAGTGTCGATTACAAACGCTGTTATTATTTTATGTGTTATTATTCTATTCGAATATTATTATGTATCGGTATCAGTAAATGGTCTAACTACGCTGCTCCGAAATTATTAGCGTATGGTATTACGTAATATTGGTCGTATCGTTTGCTCGAAATAGTCTGCTGGGAACGCGACTTATACCTAGCTGAATTTATGTAAGAGCCTGGTGCGGACGGACGCTGCACAAGTCGTGGATATTTAAGAGTAGGTTAAATCGGTTGGTTGGAGAAAAAGTTTTGATGGGTTGATAGGTTGACAGTTCCAGGCGAAATTCAATTTTATTTCCTCGAAATGGATACGACATCAATTTCGACGCGATCGAGGGTGACTCGGATACGAAATAATCTTGAGTATGATTGGTTATAGGGTAACTTCAAACCAGAGGAAAGGAATATAAATATGCGTGAAATGTGGAATCTTGGGAGCGATGAAATTTCTGTAACAGGATAAACGGCCACGTCTCGTTCCATGGACAGGACTATAATCGTTAGGGTACCAGTATGCAGAAACTCGTATGCTGTGTTTGTGACAGGTGCGCACGAACCCTTTTAATCCTACCTTTAATGTTACTCCGGAACGCACAGTGCAATTCAAACGTAACGTAACCCACGGAATACACCGCGATACGTGATACTGGTAGATAGGTAATGATTTCACTTAGTTCAAATTGATAGAAAATATCGAATCAAATTCTTTTGCGCGGATATTTTATTTGACATTTACTGATGGCGCCAATGTACGAATAACTGAGTCTATAAGCTTCGTAACAATATATACTTGTGTATCCAGTATAATAAAATCCTTTCGCTATTCAGATTACACAATAATCTCTGTAGAAATTTTCTGAAAGCACTCCTAATAATAGCGTATTATAGTTTCCATGAAACGCGGCACACATAAATAATTAATGCGAGAATTCGTCGGTGCAACGACCATAAAGATATTTTTGCGTCGTCAGTCAGGTCAATAATGTTTCGCTCGACGGCTGGCGCAGGGTGGCAAGAATCATATGCAGAAACGTATCTGCGTCACGTGTGTACACGTACACATCCACGGCCAATCTCATTAAAGGAACCAATTGTTCCCAACTCATATTCAAAGTTGCATTCAAGCGTGGAGACTACAGCGCGCACCATAGCTTTCCGTTTTACCCGTCAATTCCTTCCATTTTCCACGAAAATGAATGGGACGACGTCACCGACGCTGGGTAAACAAAATTATCGTCGTCGGACGACGCTTTCCCGAGGAATGGGAGTCTTGTTTTTAAGCTCC